TACATGCAATACACCCAGAGGTGCAACAAATAATCTTGTTCCACTGGGGAAAACTTTAACTTCCCACATTTTTTTTAAGTGAGCTTTCTTTTGAAATTAACCCAATCAAAAGTCTGTCAATAAAACTGGTTTCATTGTGCTTGTTTGCTTGTTTGGTTCAAAAAACACTAGCACCAAACCAGAGAGACATTTTTAAATCATATTGATAAGCTTGTCTTGTTAGCTTTGTTTCTGAAATAAAAGAATGTTTTGCGAAAGCAACTGCAACTAGAAGTGACAAAAATAAAACACAAAGCTCCTTCAAGCACAGAAATCTTCCTAGCATTTAATGTTACCTGTTGTGGCTAAGGCAATGCATTCAGCGTATCACGAAAAACAGCTCTGACTAGAATAATTTTGCAACAAAGATTGCGATGAAAAGGGCTGCTAGTTACAAGTTTTCCAAAGCTCTTTTAAGATGTAGGCTTGTTCTAAATCAAAATGCTGAAAATGTGATGTATCTAGTATGATTTAAGTATTGTTTATTGAGAATTTTTGTGCAAATCACAAACAAATACTACCCATTGGTAATCACCTATCTCCCTTCATTTTGTGTTATATTGTAATGTTTTTATAACAGTGCAAGCAAAATCATTATTTTACTTTTCCAAAAGACATCTTCAAGAAAATTATGTTTAAGAATATTTGAAGAATGTATTATAAATTTTTGTTTTCCAATTTTAAAAAATGTTTGTGAACATTTATTTTCTAGCCAAAGTCATGTCTGCTGAAAGTAATCCAAAACGTATGTCAAACAGAGGGGCAAGAAGTGTTAGTCATGAAAATGTTCTTATAGCTTGTTTGGCGAAAACAATTGATAACCCTTTCAATCCTGAAACAAACCCCACTGGAATTATAAATATCGGCACAAGTGAGAACAAGCTTGTCAAAGGTATCTTAACAGAAAGGTTCACAAAAGTCCGTCATGATGAGATGCCTCACCATTATATGCAGTATGTTGATATGAGAGGACTTCCTGAGTTCAGACAGTCACTGGCAACATTTCTAAACAAGTACATGAAGCCAGCAGAGCCCTTTGAAAAAGACAATTTGTATGTGTACAATGGATGTGGGTCAGTTATTGAAATGCTTGGTGAGTTTAACTATCTTTTATAGTTGTAGAACTTATATCAGTAGAAAAATGGTGTTGGATGAAAGCAGGTATTGAACAGACTCATCACAGATCTGATATCAATGCTATCAATTTGTTTTATGTCTTTAAATTTTATAGTGAGATGAATATTTTTATACTGAAACCAAGGGCAGGGGGCACTGCTCATAGTAAGAATAGTCTATTAGCAAGTTTTTACCAGAGAAGGAAAAATCCAAGATAAGATAAATGAGCAAAGTGGCCTCTTTTCCAGGTGTGGTATGTCCTTTGACCCAATTTAAATATTTCTATTTGTGTCCATTGTGTTCTGTCTTAAGAACACTTTTATTGTTTTGATCTTATCTGCTGCAAGATCCTTTTTTCGATCCTTCACTAACTAACCTCTCTCTTTTTTAATAAGCCATTCATGTTGGTTTTTCTCTATTGCATTCCTTATCCATTTTACAGAATGCATTACGTACAAATGTTGTAAAAACTATTTTATTCACAAAAATAGTTAAACCATTCAATCCTAATGATACTAAAACCTGTCCACCAATTCAAAGATTGATGGGCCCTACACTTTCTCATGTTTGTCCTTTGCTCACCCATGCCATTTTTTACCATCCTTTCTCTTTTTTACTATTCCCTCCTCTAGAATCCTTTTTATCTTTGTCACTGTTCTCTTTATTCCTCTTCCTTAATTCGCCCCTGCTTTTCTATCCTTTTTAATCTTTTACTTTGCTTCTTCTTCTCTTATTTTGCTGATTTTTAAAGAAAGAAGAAAGGCCTACCTCTCATTTTTGTGTTTGAGTTGAAAGATCTGAAAATCTTTCTGAATCTTTCTGAATTTCTATGAGGAGTGTCTTCAAAATTCTGCTGACTTTCTGTCTTGCTGGTATCAAGATATAACCCTATAAGATTAACTGGACCTTTTGGTATTGCCAGAGGCTTGATAACAAGCTCCCCTGCTTCCTGTTTTATTTACTGCAGACACTTGCTTTTTATAGAACCAATCTTTAGTTAAAAAAGACAGCCTTGAGTTTAGTCAAAAATGCTAGTGGTCTGAATTTGACATCCAAATTTATAGCTCATATTTGGAAGTAACATCTTACAAAATTGGCATTTTAATATTTTATATCATCTTTTATTCCATATTTTTCATGTGAGTTCAAGCATTCTATCGATTGGATTGATTTCAGAAATCTTAATTTAAGAACATTAAATTTGTCCAATTTTACTTACCTGAAGGCCTTGGTTTTTTCACAAATAACCTTGTATATTTTGGAAGCTTTAAAGCAAAAAGAAATTTCTTTGAGACAATTTAACTTCTGTAAACTGATTTTACAAGTATTGCTTTTAGCATTCGCAATATGTGACGATGGAGACTGCTTGTTGGTGCCTTCTCCTTATTATGGAACATTTGAAACATATGTCGAATGGCGCATGGGTGTCAAAATATATCCTGTAGATCTTTCAAGTGAGGTGAATGAAGCCTTTGGAGAAAGCGGGCCATTTGACTTGTCGGTAGGCAGGTTGGAGAAAGCTTACGAAAAAGCAAAGTCTGAGGGCTTCAATGTGCGTGGCTTGCTCATGTCTAACCCAATCAATCCTCTTGGCAAAATATACACAAAGAGCCAACTGGAAGGATTTTTCAAATTTGCCAACACAAACAATCTTCATTTCATTCTCGATGAGATCTACTTCTTATCAGTTCATGATGGTACTACTACCCCAGGTCGAAGTATTGTAGATGCTATAGACCCAAAGCTGCTTCATATTGTTTGGGGTTTTAGTAAAGATTTCGCAATTTCGGGATACAGATGTGGCTTGGTGCATACGGTGAACGAGGAAGTTGAGAAGGTTCTTAACGCAAATGCCTATTTCTACGGCGTTCCAACACCCACACAGTACTTGCTGAAATCAATGATTGATGATAATGACTGGCTGGATGGTGTTTATTTTCCAACAAACATAAAGAGAATGCAAGCTGCACGGAGCCATGTTTGCAAAGAGCTCACTGATCTGGGAATCTCATTTTTAGCTCCAGCTGGAGGGTTTTTTATTTGGGTAGACATGCGGAATTATGTGAAGCCTTTATCAAAAGAAGGTGAAATGAAACTTTTGAATGCATTCCTCGATAACGGCGTGTACATATGCCCAGGATTAGCGTTTCATTCCAAGGAATCTGGCTGGTTTAGGATTATTTTCACGTCACCTGATGAATACCTTCTTCCAGCTATTCAGAGAGTGAAAGACGTTTTACAAAATTTCAAAGCAGTGTAACTAAAAATTTGAAATTTCTTGCAAAATTTTGTTTTCAGTTTGGATGACTTTATCATAACGAGAATTGTTTGCTGTAATCAAGGTTTTAAAAAACCGAAATTTTAAAAATTTTGCTGGAAAGAACCTTCTTTCTTTCCAATAATAACTGAATTATATCCAAAGAAGCTGTTATAGTGGGAGTGTATGTAATTGCCGTATGGTACAATTTATGCAGTTTCTTAAAGTGCTTAAAAATAAGACACTATAGAAGTGGCATCTTTGTGTTTTTAAACGTTTTTAAACTGCATTCTCCATTTTCTCATCTTCAAATGTAAGCCTCATTTCAATTCTTTTCTATTACTCCCCCAAATGCAGGGCCATGGCCGAGGCCGGGGCCGTAAATATCTGTGGGGCTCTTGTTCTATAAAATTATTTTTTCTAAGGTGCGCAGCCCCTTCTGGATACCTCAAGCGTGGGGACCTTCTGGGACCGTGGCTCCTTTAGACCTCCTCAATCCAACACTGCTCCATATCACCATTTCTGCTTTTTCTCTTCAATTTTAACTCTCATTTATTTCGGCCATATAGCTAGTTTCTGCTTAATAATAAAATGAAGAAACCTCTTTTGTTGAGAAAATGTATTGATGATGTCAAGATAAAATTATACTTCTTTAAAATTATGAATAATATTCATAGGTGTGAGTTAGTTGTTCAATTCTTTCACTCGAGAATCCATAAAAAGGGTATGTCACCATTTTCTTGGTCATAAATTTTCTCATATTTATTGTCAAATCTCAGTCCATGATTTCCTACTGATTCCAAATAACAAGTACTGATTCTTTCTTGCTTATTTACTCGTATTTTTACAACTCTTTTAGAGTCAATATATTGATGTTTTAATCATTTATGATAATTTCTTGATGTTTTAGTCAATATATTGATGTTTTAATCATTTATTGAGGATCAATTTTCGACCAAAAACCTAAGCCTATAGCCTCAAGAAATTATCACTTTTTTATGAAAAATTTAGATGAATCTGGGATGGCAAAGATAAATCTGGTTCATTATATATAACAAATCGCAAGCTAAACTGAGCAGTTCAGTTATTATCGAAAATGGGCCATTTGGTAGCCATTTGGTAAGCCCCTAAAAGGACTGGACCCCCCTGTCAGGCCTTAATGGGAGTAGCCCCCCGGGCTCTGTACTCTGATAAGTACTCTGAGACGTTCAGAATCCGCAGACGAATTTGCGGATTATGAAACAATTGCTTTTCTATAAATGTATTGATGGTGTCAGAGTTTTAATTAGCCTTTTCCCAGGAAGAAAGCTTAATTCTCTCGAGAGAAGAAGAAAAAAGACATCTATTATCTTCTTATGAAAGAATGCGCCCCCAAATTTACAGCAAAATTAAGAAGCTGAGCAGGAGCCTACCCTTGGAAATTCCTATTCAGTGTGTGAGATGCAAATTGAGGCGAGTTGTTCTAGTGGCTACATGTGATGTTGGAGATGGACGTGACTCTAACCTGGTTTGAACGAACTCATTATAAAGGATGAAGGATGAAGAACACAGTAAATAATGGCTTAAAGCATCATAAAGGTTTGTTGGAAATGTTTTTCAATTTTTCATTTGATTTCTAGATTAATTGGTTATTTACGCTGTCATGCAAATGGTGCTCCTCGTTTCAAATATGCACTTTACATGGCGAATTTTCAAACTCAAAGAACAATAAAGAAACAATTTAAACCATAAAATCAATATAATGTTGAATTCGGCAAATCTTCTTTTTTTTGATTTTCAGATAATTTGAAGTTACCGACTAGCAATTAATATTGGTTTTCATTGAATTGACCCCGCCATCATAGGCCTACCAGACTGTAAAGGATATTTTTCGCTGTATTTTCTGAATAATGATTTGTTTGTGAGAAATCGTTCGAATCGCAGGAATTTCAGAAACTTTCTTTAATTTACTTATTTCTTCCTTCTTTAACATTTCTATTCCTGCCAATTAAGTTCTTTGTCTGGTAAGGTCTTGATTTCCGGACATAGGTTAAGAAATATGATAATTGATTCTTTTTTCAATTATCAAACTTGAGGAGTTTTGACAGAATCAAACCCAACTTTGACCACTAAGAAAACATTAAATACCAAAGGGAAAAGAGTGAGACAGCGTGACAAAATGTCACAAAAGGCCATTAAAAAAGGCCACCCAGCAACCTTGCCCAATTTTTCTTATTTCCTACTTCTTATTTCTACTTCGTTTTCTTTTATTACATTTTCTGTTTTTTATTATTATTAATTCAATTCCAAAAGTATTCTAGAAAAGCATTCATGATTATATAAAAATGGATTGATTTGTAACAGAATTCATCGCTCCATAATGAAACGCGGTTATTGATGAGAAAAATGCCAATTATTATTACGAGAAAACAATCCGCGTGCAAGTAGAAAATTTGCACGTCCCGGATTATTGGCAATGTCGTGGACTGGAGAGATAATGCGCGGGTACCCGCGGGATATAACGTTCCAGTCCGATAGACTCAAACCAAAACGAAGCTCACATGGTCAAGTGTAGGCGATTCCCTGGGAATCAAGGCTGGCTGCACAAACCTTGCAAAGTTTTCTCTAGTCAGTGGCAAAGAAACATTAATTAATCAACAGGTACCTTCTTGAATACACATGCAAATAGATTCGTAACACTTTTTCAACTTCAGTTTATACGGAACGGAATTTGGTATACAAATACGTGGGCAGTTAAGTTTGCGAAACAACATCACATTCAAACTTCATCAGAATCTCGCCTTTTTCGTTCTGGTACAATCCGAGGGGCATTTCACTCTTGCAAATAGCGTACGAGATTTTCCCTGAAACAAAATAATTTCTAGGGATTTTCCGATAAAACAATAGGATTTCCACCAAAAGCGTACGAGGTTTTCTTGGAGTGATTTGCTTCTCGGTACAATCAAGGGGTTGACTTCACGAGGATTGGACTTAAATCCTCGTGTTTGACACTGTGAGCACACCTTCGTTGAATTTTGTACGCTTTCAAATTGCATGGCTCCTTTATCTAACCTGTCAATTTTCATTGAGCCTGTATTTTCTTCTAAAACTAAATCAAAAGCAAGCAGCCAACAGGCCCACCAACTATTCCATTATTTCACTAATCTCAAAAAAATTGTAACTATAATTTTGATGGGTGACAACAATGGTATAAGAGCTCCAGCCAAACTTGTTTACATACCAACTTTGTTTTATCTTCAAGTCAGTGGTTTCCATCCTTAATGTCTTGTGGCAATAAGTATGTAAGTGCTTTAGTATCTAAGACTCTGCACTGTGGACTGTATTCTGGTCTGGCCTGTACCACCAGCCAGTCATTGTAGTAGCAATCCAGTTTTAATGAATCTCTCCCTTTAATGCTCTGCAACTAGGGTTTGATATTATCAGCTAATCACCATATTTGAATACTAATTATTACTAAGTTTTTTTAAATTGAAATTGAAACTTTTCTTGATTATTTTGGAAGGACTCTGATTGCAATTGTACTTTTCCAAGTTTCAGCTGATTTCCACTAATTTTATTGTTGCAGTTTGTCTATATATCAATATTACCCTTAAAACTTTTCATCCTATGGATGTATTTTTACAGGCAAAGAGATTTTCAATGTGCATCATAAACAAAAGAATACTGCATTTTCAAATGCCAATTTTGAATGGTTTTGCTTTAATACTAAATATTATGTAACAATGAGTCAAAACTGTGTCATTATGAGATTGATTCCGAACTTCTGATACTTTTGGCAAGACTATGATGGTTGACAAAATATCAAATTATTATAACACTTGTAAGTTATCTCAAGGCCAAGAAAAGAGTTCTGAATTCGGTTATTGTGGAGAACGAATGTAATATCATCAAAAAATGAGACGGGGAAAATGAAACCAAGTACAAATTCAAAATTGAAGTTCCAACCCAATTGAGAAAATACCTAAATGTGATTAAACTTTCATGAGCATTAATATTTTTTCCTTAGGAGGCATAAAAAGTTTCCTATTCTACAGTTGGTGCATTCTGCTATGTTGTCAAACTTTCTTTTTCATGTTCTATTAATATTTCCATAATGCTTCAAATGTTGGTAACATATTTGCTCTTTTAGTAGCCGCAGTCAGTGTCCTTTTCTTTTCACACCATACTTGTTTTGCTGCCAAATACTTTTGAAATTCAAGTTGAAATGGGGCAAAGGAACTCTGAGAAGCTTTTGTTAATGCTTTAAACAATTCATTTTTATGTATATCTGAAAAAGATCTCTGTTGTTTTTACCTTTTTTGTTAGGCTAAAAAAACAGAAACCCTCTGAAGCTTTACATTGACATTTATAAGAAGGGAAAGGGCAATCAAAAGCTCCACTACACTTATTTAGCATGGCAAATTGAAAGTGTTTGTTGTGGCACTCATTTTAGAAAAGCTGAAAATGAGAAAACTCTGGCAATTTTAAAGGATTTTGTCTTTGAATAAAGTGTGCTTGCCTGATATTGCTGGTAAAATGTTCTATGATTTCATAAACAATACAAGAATGGTATATGATAGCTTGTCATTGTTGACATAGGTACATGCAAGTGGTGTTGTTGTCTTGTACTGTACTCATAAATTTGTGAGTTTGTATGGAACAATTCAGAGAGATATTAGGGAGCTTGGTTGTTTAGACATTTGTACAGTAAACAGAGCCTATGAGTCTTTGGTTGTTCCTCAAGCCTCTTCCACTGAAGTTTGTTTAAAGCTAGTGTCACATGACCAAACTCACGCATCCCAGTTAACTACCTTTGCTGCAAAGTTCTCAATTGACTGAGCTTTGTGTAGTGCTGTTTTGACGCATGGCCATAGACAATATCGCCATATTGTACGCTTGAGAGTACACATGCTTGCACAACCTTTGAAAAAGTTTCTCTTTTCATACAGTTTCTGATCTGTGTCATTTGTATTAGCTTCCCTGCACAATATTTCTTTAGCTGAGAGATGTGGCTGTTTCATGAAAGTGTTTGATCAATCTGCATGCCAATTATTGTAACCTCCTTTGCAGCTTCAAGTATATTTTTCTGAATATCAATTTTTGAACATGACGGTGGAATCTTCACAAGTTGATTATTTGTGCCAATTATGATAAAATGAAACTTGTCCGGGTTTGCCATTAACTTATTTGCAGAAAACCACTCAAGTATCAAGTTAATATCATCCTTCAATATTGAGAGCGTTTCTTCAACCTTTTCAGCTTTGAAAGAGGCGTATAGCTGTAAGTCATCAGCATACCCATGTATATTTGAGTCATTAGATGATAGTTTCTTAAGCATGGCTGTTATCTCGTTTATGTACAGGTTGAATAATGTGGGTCCCAGGACAGAGCCTTGTGGTACACCGCAGGGGACCTTTGCTGCACTTGACAATATGTTGCCGACTTTAACGTATTGAAGTCTGTTTTGGAGGTAACAGTTGAACCAAAACATTGAATGAGTGTCAAAACCATACCTTAGTAGTTTTTGAAGCATTCATGGGTGGTCAATGGTATCAAATGCTTTGCTAAAATCCATCAGTATTATGGGTGTGATAAAGCCTTTGTCCATGTTACATAAAATGTTATCAGTTATGCTTATGAGGGCAGTTTGAGTTGAATGATTCTTGCAAAACCCAGAGTAACATTTTGTGAGAATATCGTTATATTTCAGAGAGTGGGCCACTTGTGTGTTTACAACGTTTTCCACCAGTTTGGGGAGAAATGGTAACACAAACACTGGGCGATAATTTGCTATTGCAGTTTTAGCTCCAGCTTTTAAAGACTGGAGTAATCAATGAAGATTTCCATATCAAAGGGAGCTGTGCTGATGCAATGCTCAGGTTTAATATGGATGCAATGGATGGGGACACTATGTCTGCCACAATTTTCAAAGATTTGAGGTCAATGTTATCGGCGCCAGTTGCTTTATTTGATGGGATGTTCAGCAGCCAATTTTTTACCTCTGCACTTTTTACAGTTTTATAAGAGAACTTAGATCTTTTGTCCAAAGGAATGGGGAAGCTCTGTTTAGTTGGCTGTAATTTATTTTGGGTCATCACACCAATTTCTGAGAAAAAAGTGTTCAGTTTATTTGCTTGATCCTTGTTCAACCACTCAGGTGGAAGAGGGTTACTTTGCTTTTTTTTTGGAGCAAGTCGCTTAATGCAGTTCCACATCTGTTTAGGGTTTCTTTACATTCAGTTAGTGTCTTTTGAAAGAAGGAGTCTCTTGCATCTCTCACAGCCTTGATAACGCTCTTTTTCTCCACTTGGTATTGCTTCCATACTATTTCAGACTTGGTAACTATTGTTTTTATCCTGGTATTGTCTCTGTTGTTGAGTAGAGTCTGTAGTTCGTGTGTAAACCAGGGCTTTGGTTTTGATCTAATTTTTATTTTTCTCAAAGAGGCATGCTTATTTAATGTGTTTGTGTAAAGCCCATTCCATTTACTAACTTCCTCATTCGTGTCATTTGTTTTGAGACAATCCTTCAGCGGTAGCTGTGAGACATCAGCTCTGAACTTTTCAGATACAAGTTCTTGTAAGATCTCACCGTTTTGTAATGGGTGCTTGGCTTGGGACACTTTCTTTGTAATTGGTATGCAGTATAGCAATGAATGATCACTTATAGAAGGGTGGTATACTCCTGATTTGATTGTGTTCAGGGTGGGTGTCTTAATAATCAAGTCAATCAAGGTTTGTGTTTCTGCAGTTACCCTTGTTGCCTCAGAGATTTCCTGACTAAGGTGGTAAGATGATATTCTCTCAATAAGCTCTTTATTGGGGCTCTCTTGTGGCTTCAAGAAATTGCATTTAAAATTCCCAACCAACAGGATCTCTTGGTTAGTTGATATGACTTCAAGTAAGGTGTTTTAAAGATCAGCCAAATGGCTAACTGGGCTGTTTGGAGCTCCAAGTATAATTGGTTTACACCTTCAAATGCTAATTTTCACCCAGAGTTGTTCTATTGTGCTGCTTTCTGAATAGGTATGACTCAGCTGAACAATCTCGTTTATATCAATGCAATTTTTAGAGTAGATTAAAATCCCTCCACCTCGCTTGTTTGCTTGGTCAACTCGAATGCCACATTTGTAGCTTCCAATCATTAAAGCATGTCTATCAATTTCTTGTTCAGCCAGGTCTCTGTTACAACCAGGACATCTATTAGAGACTGATCTAACAAATGCTCAACCATGTGTTTTGATGGTAGTAATGACTGCATGTTGATATGAGCTATTTTAATGTTTCCGTCATATCTTCTAAAAGTAGCTTGGATAAGGTCGACTGTGTTTTGCTGAGGCTCCACTGTCTCCTCTGGAGTGAGTCGGTCATGATCAGGTGGCGTTTTAGGCCCATTGATTATCGGCAGAGCATTCAGGTTAAGTCTCCTTATACAAGCTTGGCAGTTCCAAGATATTTTAGTTGTTAGTTGAAGCTGTGTGTGTTGAGCTGGGCTGACATCTCCACATTTTATGTGGCACCGGAGTTCACAGCTATCCCAGCTCAGGGCTCGATGATTTTTTGCAATTGCTTTTTGGCATACAGAACATGGATGTTTTATTGGGCCTGGATTTGTTTAAATATCATAAGCCAGAATAAAGCTAATGGAGCCATCAGTGAGTACTTGGTACGTAGAACAGCCTTTTGATGCAAAGTGAGCTATCCTTGCTCCAACAAATATCTTTTTGTTTAGTTGTCCGGGCTTCTTATTAGGCCTTAGACCTAAGTGTTTTGTCACAGTAGCTTCAATGCTGAAACTCAACGGAGCTCTATTCTCTTTCCATGCTTCTTTTGCAATGTATGCATGAGGAGTTGAGGATAGCAATTTGTGGAATAGCAGCACAATAACGAATGAGTTAACAGTGAGCATGTAAAATTACGCATCAGCATGTTGGAGTCCACATACAAAGAAGAACATTGACAAAATTGAAGCTGTCCAGAGACGAGCTGCTAGGTTTACATTAGATTATCGCGTTTATGGCACAGACGCTCAGTTGACACAGAAAATGAAATCATTAAACTGGCTACCACTACAACACCAACACTGCATCCATGACCTTCAAATCTTCAATAAAATTCGAAACAACATGCTCAGCATCTCGTTTCCAGAAATTGTCCTTTCCTAAACCAGAAATCCGCTCAAATATCAAACAATCCAATGCCTCCACTCTGAAGCTTTCAAAAATCAATTCTTCGTAAGAACAATTCGGATTTGGAATAGCCTACCGCCAGAAATTATGAATTGCGTGAGAGAAGAAAAATTCAAAGTATCAGTGACAGAATGGTTGCGTCCACGCCAGTGGGTGAAGGTGGCCTCCACCAACACATGGACCCTAGTATAGACTTATTCGAGACAATTTTTACTCTTTTGTTAGCCTTGTTATCCCTAGTTTATGATTAACACCGCTTCCACACTGGCAATAGCCAACCTTTGCTTGGATTTGTTGAACCAAAACCAAATGCAACATTTTGTAGAAATTAACAAGCTGGAGCGCTGGGTGGAAATGGTATTAATCCTACTCAAGTTAATTTTCCTTTTCCAAAATTTAAAAATTTTTTTTTTTTTTTTATACTCCAGATCGGTTGTAAAGCCTTTAGGAGTTAACTATTGAAGATTGAAGATTGAAGTGAGAAAAAATCGTGTGTTCGCCATTTTCAATGCAATTCAATTCGGACCATGAACCAATTTGAGTGTAGGAGCTTTGCACATTCTCAATATCTATGAATCTTTTGCACTATTATTTTCTCATGTTTTTCCAGTATGTCATGCTCGTTGCTTACACTTGCTGGGATGATGATCTGCCTTCCATTTACGATTTTCCCATTTGTCTTTGATACCTCTTAACAACGTCAAACTCGATGTGCCAAAATTTTCGGATTGTTTCAGGGCACGGAAGTCCATCCTTTCTGTACCATTGTCAAATCATTTCTGTACAGTCCATCCTTTCTGTACCATTGTCAAATCATTTCTGTACAGTCCATCCTTTCTGTACCATTGTCAAATCATTTCTGTACAGTCCATCCTTTCTGTGCCATTGTCAAATCATTTCTGTACAGTCCATCCTTTCTGTACCATTGTCAAATCATTTCTGTACAGTCCATCCTTTCTGTACCATTGTCAAATCATTTCTGTACAGTCCATCCTTTCTGTACCATTGTCAAATCATTTCTGTACAGTCCATCCTTTCTGTACCATTGTCAAATCATTTCTGTACAGTCCATCCTTTCTGTACAGTCCATCCTTTCTGTACAGTCCATCCTTTCTGTACAGTCCATCCTTTCTGTACAGTCCATCCTTTCTGTACAGTCCATCCTTTCTGTACAGTCCATCCTTTCTGTACAGTCCATCCTTTCTGTACAGTCCATCCTTTCTGTACAGTCCATCCTTTCTGTACAGTCCATCCTTTCTGTACAGTCCATCCTTTCTGTACAGTCCATCATTTCTGTAAAGTCCATCCTTTCTGTACAGCCCATCCTTTCTGTAAAGTCCATCCTTTCTGTACAATCATTTTTTAGCTCTTCAATGCTCTGTGGCTGGTATCTTGCAAATGGATCTAGCCTCACGAGCAGCAATTTTTTTTTCAAAAATTTCATCCTTTCTCCTAGCCTTAGACTAGGCCGCGCAGAATAGGGCATCTGCATCAGCCATGTATTTACCTTTTACATATTCAACAGAAAAGCTTGACGTACTCCTCCTTTGTATGACTGGTGTCATCTCAGCAAGGGGTTTATAGTTCCGACTTTTAGCGAGAGGATCAGGATTAGTTTGTATGCCAAAATGTGTCAGACTGTAAAGCTTTTCACATTTTTAACAACCCTATGTGACTGCAAGCATTTCCATTTCAATATTGTGGCTGTTATTATCTGCATCAGAGAGAATTGGATTGCTGCCATTCCATTTAGTACGCTTCCATCTGCGCCCAGCTCTGAAATTGCTGCTTTAATTAGAATTTGAAAGATAGTTTCACTTAGAATTAGAGTTTGACTTTCGAAAGGTAGTTTCATGGTTTGCTGTTCATACCCACGAGTTTTGGTTCAGAGCAGGTCTCCCAATGGCTCTGACGCTCTAGCAAAATCTGGTGTGTACTAAGAGAGGGGCTAGTCCATGCCAAAAGATCTTTACAGTTCTCTGATATTCTGTGCAGTGCAGATTTGGAGCAGAGCATCCACCCTGGAGCAAAGAGGCCTAATTTCTGCTGCTGAAATGCTGTTTCTCAAAAATTCTACTGCCATTAGGTGGAATTTGCATTTTCCTTGAGTTTAGAGGGTTCTCCCTGACCAGTAAATCACTACGATAATCCTTTAAGGCATTCATCATGTTCAGCCATATCATATAAGTTTTTTCACAGGTCCAGGATCTTTTGAAAAATGACTTAGCCTTTTTTTCAATGTATGACATAGAAATTCATTGAAGACATTTTTAATGGTGAAACCAACAAATTTTCAAGCCTTCAGAGTCGTTTCGAATAAAACAAAATTTCCAGAGTTTTCAGATTTTTCAAATCTTTTTGAAGGATATGGGTTATAGACTTTTAAAAAAATGACTTAATTCTTTTTTCCAACTAGGAGATTGAAATTCATGGAAAACACTTCTAACTGTGTTAAGAACGTGTTTTCAAGCATTTCAAGTCGTTTTGAGCTAAAAAATTTGGCCTGCAATTTATTGGAAACTCATCAAATGGTGTTGCCAACATAAATCAAATCATTTTAGGTTCCTTTGAGCGGAAATTTTTTTTTGCGAAAATTTTAAATTTTTGAGTTTTTTGCATTTTGCGGTCACAGATTTTTTGAAAAATGACTAAATTCTTTTTTTAGAGTTACGGACCCGAAATTCCTCGGAATGTATACAAATGGTGTTGCGGACGTATTTGAAAGCTTTTTAGGTTGTTTCAAGCTAAAAAAAATTTTGTATAAATTTCTCATTTTTTGGGTTTTTTTGCATATCCGGGGTCATGGATTTTTTGAAAAATGACTAAATTCTTTTTTGAGAGTTTAGGGCCTGAAATTCATTGGAAACTCCAAAAGTGATGTTCCGGCCTTTTTTTAACGCTTTTCAGGTTGTTTCGAGCCAAAATAAATTTTTTCGCAAATTCACAATTTTTTGATTTTTTTGCATATCCGGCCGGGATCATGGATTTTTTGAAAAATGACTAACTTCTTTGTTGAGAGTTACAGGCCTGAAATTCATCCGAAACACCACAAACGATGTTGCAGACGTATTTTAACGCTTTTTAGGTTGTTTCGAGCCAATTCACAATTTTTTGAGTTTTTTTGCATATCTAAGGTCATGGATTTTTGAAAAATGACTACGTTCTTTTTTGAGAGCTACAGGCCTGAAGTTCATCGGAAACTCTACCAACGGTGTTGCGGACGTATTTTAACGCTTTTTAGGCTGTTTCGAGGCACAATAAATTTTTTCAAAATTCACAATTTTTGAGTTTTTTTGCATATCCGGAACATGGATTTATTAAAAATTGACTTACTTCTTTTTGAGAGTTACAGGCCTGAAATTCATCAGAAACTCCACAAATGGTGTTGCGGACGTATTTAAACGCTTTTTAGGTTGTTTCGAACCAAAATAATTTTTTTTGAAAATTTATACTTTTTTGAGTTTTTTTGCATATCCGGGATCATGGATTTTTTAAAAAATGACTTACTTCTTTTTTGAGGGTTTCGGGCCTGAAATTCATCCGAAACTCTACAAACGGTGGTGCGGACGTTTTTTAATGCTTTTTAGGTTGTTCGAGCAAAAGTAAATTTTTTCGAAAAATTCCAATTTTTTGAGTTTTTTTGCATATCCGTGATCATGGATTTTTTGAAAAATGACTACGTTCTTTTTTGAGAGTTACGGGCCTGAAATTCATCGGAAACTCCAGAAATGGTGTTGCAGATGTATTTTAAGACTTTTTAGGTTGTTTCGAGCCAAAATAATTTTTTCGAAAATTCACAATTTTTTGAGTTTTTTTGCATATCCCGGATCATGGATTTTTTAAAAAATGACTTCCTTCTTTTTTGAGAAATATGGGCCTTGAAATTTTTTGATACTGGTCAATTGTTGTTGCGAACGTTAATTGTGTTGTTTTGGGTTGTTTCGAAGGAAAAATTCGTTGTCCAAAAGTTTAGTATTTTATGTGTTTGGAAAGATAAAAATTTTTAATCTTGACATAACCTTTTTCTTTCAGACATTACTTCGAAGGCCACTGAAAAGTCATTAAATGATCAAACAAAGGTATTTGTAAGCATTTTTAATTCTTTTGAGTAAAAATCTTTTTTGCTGAAAATTGACAATTCTTTTTGTGCATATACAGGATCATGGACTTTTGGAAAAGTGACTAAGTTCTTTTTGAGAGTTACGGGCCTAAAATTCATCGGAAACTCCACACATGGTGTTGCGGACGTATTTTAAAGCTTTTTAGGTTGTTTCGAGCCAAAAAAAGTTTTTGTATAAATTTCTCATTTTTTGAGTTTTTTTGCATATCCGGGATCATGGATTTTTTGAAAAATGAAATTCACCGCAAACTCTACAAATGGTGTTGCTGACGTATTTTAAAGCTTTTTAGGTTGTTTCGAGCCTAAATAAATTTTTTCGAAAATTCACAATTTTTTGAGTTTTTTTGCATATCCGGGGTCATAGATTTTTTGAAAAATGAAAACTTTTTTTTGAGAGTTTCGGGCCTGAAATTCATTGGAAACTCCACAAATGGTGTTGCGGACGTATTTAAAAGCTTTTTAGGTTGTTTCGAGCCAAAAAAAGTTTTTGTATAAATTTCTCATTTTTTGAGTTTTTTTGCATATCCAGGATCATGGATTTTTTGAAAAATAACTAACTTCTTTTCTGAGAGTTTCGGGCCTGAAATTCATCGGAAACTCCACAAATGGTGTTGCAGACTTATTTTAAAGCTTTTTAGGTTCTTTCGAGCCCAAAAAAGTTTTTGTATAATTTTGTCATTTTTTGAGTTTTTTTGCATATCCAGGATCATGGATTTTTTCAAAAATGACTAACTTCTTTTCTGAGAGTTTCGGGCCTGAAATTCATCTGAAACTCCACAAATGGTGTTGCGGACGTATTTTAAATATTTTTAGGTTGTTTCGAGCCAAAAAAAGTTTTTGTATAAATTTCTCATTTTTTGAGTTTTTTTGCATATCCGGGATCATGGATTTTTTGAAAAATGACTAATTTCTTTTTTGAGAGTTTCGGGCCTGAAATTCATCGGAAACTCCACAAATGGTGTTGCGGACGTATTTTAAAGCTTTTTAGGTTGTTTCGAGCCAAAAAAGTTTTTGTATAAATTTCTCATTTCTAAAGTTTTCTTGCATATCCGGGATCATCGATTTTTTGAAAAATGACTACGTTCTATTTTGAGATTTATGGGCCTGAAATTCACCGCAAACTCCACAAATGGTGTTGCTGACGTATATCCGGGATCATGGATTTTTTGAAAAATGACTAACTTCTTTTTTGAGAGTTTTTGGCCTGAAATTCATCGGAAACTCCACACATGGTGTTGCGGACGTATTTTAAAACTTTTTAGGTTGTTTCGAGCCAAAAAAAGTTTTTGTATAATTTTGTCATTTTTTGAGTTTTTTTGCATATCCGGGATCATGGATTTTTTGTAAAATGACTAAATTCTTTTCTGAGAGTTTCGAGCCTGAAATTCATTGAAAACTCCACAAATGGTGTTGCGGACGTATTTTGAAACTTTTTAGGTTGTTTCGAGCCAAAAAAAGTTTTTGTATAAATTTCTCATTTATTGAGTTTTTTTGCATATCCAGGATCATGGATTTTTTCAAAAATGACTAACTTCTTTTCTGAGAGTTTCGGGCCTGAAATTCATCGGAAACTCCACAAATGGTGTTGCGGACGTATTTTAAATATTTTTAGGTTGTTTCGAGCCAAAAAAAGTTTTTGTATAAATTTCTCATTTTTTGAGTTTTTTTGCATATCCGGGATCATGGATTTTTTGAAAAATGACAACTTTTTTTTGAGAGTTTCGGGCCTGAAATTCATTGGAAAGTGTCCACAAATGGTGTTCCGGATGTATTTTAAAGCTTTTTAGGTTGTTTCGAGCCAAAAAAAGTTTTTGTATAAATTTCTCATTTTTTGAGATTTTTTGAATATCCAGGATCATGGGTTTTTTAAAAAGTGACTACGCTCTTTTTTGAGAGTTACGGGCCTGAAATTCATCAGAAACTCCACACATGATGTTGCGGACGTATTTAAAGCTTTTTAGGTTGTTTCGAGCCAAAAAAAGTTTTTGTATAAATTTCTCATTTTTTGAGTTTTTTTGCATATCCCGGGATCATGGATTTTTTGAAAAATGACTACGTTCTTTTTTGAGAGTTTCGGGCCTGAAATTCATCGAAATCTCCAGAAATGGTGTTGCGGACGTATTTTAAAACTTTTTAGGTTGTTTCGAGCCAAAAAAAGTTGTTGTATAAATTTCTCATTTTTTGAGTTTTTTTGCATATCCGGGATCATGGATTTTTTGACAAATGACTAACTTCTTTTCTGAGAGTTTCGGGCCTGAAATTCATCGGAAACTCCACAAATGGTGTTGCGGACGTATTTTAAAGCTTTTTAGGTTGTTTCGAGCCAAAAAAAGTTTTTGTATAAATTTCTCATTTTTTGAGTTTTTTGCATATCCGGGATCATGGATTTTTTGAAAAATGACTAACTTCTTTTCTGAGAGTTTCGGGCCTGAAATTCATCGGCAACTCCACAAATGGTGTTGCGGACTTATTTTAAAGCTTTTTAGGTTGTTTCCAGCCAAAAACTGTTTTTGTATAAATTTCTCATTTTTTGAGTTTTTTTGCATATCCGGGATCATGGATTTTTTGAAAAATGACTAACTTCTTTTCTGAGAGTTTCGGGCCTGAAATTCATCGGAAACTCCACAAATGGTGTTGCGGACGTATTTTACAACTTTTTAGGCTGTTTCGTGCCAAAAAAAGTTTTTGTATAAATTTCTCATTTTTTGAGTTTTTTTGCATATCCGGAATCATGGATTTTTTGAAAAATGACCAACTTCTTTTCTGAGAGTTTCGGGCCTGAAATTCATCTCATTGCACGGAAGAATCCTCCCACATAGTAATTGCGTACGTATTTTAAAGCTTTTTAGTTGTTTCGAGCCAAAAAAATTTTTTTTATCAAATTTTTCTCATTTTTCTCTGAGTATTTTGCAATATACAACGGGGTCAAAGTTGGCAGATTGTTTTTTAAATACAAGCACGCGTAGAATTCGTTTTAGAGAAGGAAGTACGGGCCTGAAAAATTCACCAAAACTCCACACATCTGTTGGCTGGACGTATGTTATAAAGCTTCTTTAAGGTTGTTTCAAGCCAAAAAAGTTTTTGTATAAATTTTCTCATTTTTGTTTGTAGTTTTTCTTATTGGCATATCCGGTGATGGATGGATTTTTTCTGACAAAATGACTGTGGTTTCTTTTATAGAGAGTTTATCCGCGCCTGAAATTGAATCTTGCAAAGACTCCATAAAATGTTGTTGTGCGAACTTATTTTACACATGCTTTTTAGGTTGTTTCGAGTAGCAAAAAATAAAATTTTTTCGAAAGTTCACATTTTTTTGAGTTTAATATTTTGCACTTATATTGCGGGCATCAATTGGTATTTTTGTGAAAATTACTAACTCTTTTTTTTGAGAGTTTATCGGCACTGATGAATATTCATATGACAACTCATCATTATGGTAATTTGCTGTTACGTATCTTTGAAAGCTTTTTAAGGTTTATTTCGTAGCCTCAAGAACATGTAGTTTTGTATAAATTTCTCATTTTTTTGAAGATGTTTTGATTCCAAGGTATTCATGGGTTTATTTTTAAAAGTGACTAACGCCTTCTTTTTTGAGCGAGTTACTGGGCTTGAAATTTCATTGCGGAAACTCCACATACTGGTATTTGCTTACTCTGTATTTTTTTTAAAGTTTTCTCAGGATTGTTTCGAGCCAATAAAAATTCTTTTGTTGTTCATATATATTCTCATTTTTTTGTTGATGTATGTTTGGCATTCACGGTGACTCTGGATATTTGAAAAAATGACTATGGTTTCTTTAACTTGAAGAGGTTTTACAGGCCGGAAATTGATCGAAACTCCAGCAAAACTGCGTGTTGCATGATACTGCTTATTTGTACCGCTTTTTAAATGTTTGTTTCGGCAATAAAGAAATTTTTTATTTATCGAAAGTGTCAACTAAGTTTCGAGTTTATTTTTGCATATCC